ACACCCTAGTTCGCATATGCCACTGGGGGGGTGCCGCTGGGGAACAACTGCGGCCAGCGACACACCGTCCAGTACGGGGAGTCCTATAATTGGGGGGGGGGGGGGGGTCCGTTACCAAGTGCGAAACGGTATCATACGGTAGATTCGAATGGTAATTTACATGTATGATACAGTAACCGTACGTGCCGCTGACTAATACACTCAATTCCAGCGAGTGATGCCCTATGCATCACTCGGTATCGCGTTATTTTCGTGTCGGTTGACAGGCAAGGTCCCGAGGCGGGAGGGGCGAGGGGGGAGAGAGGGGGGGGAAACCGTGATACTGTATGATACGGTTTGATATGTTGTGCGCAGTTGGCTGTTTGTCTTCGATCCCTTACCCCCCCGCACCCGGGGAAAAGATATCATGTCATCCTAACATACGCGCCCGTCTTGCTCTTCTTGCTCTTGCTGTTCTTGCTCCGCTGCTGTTGCCTACCGGTAGGTACAATACTGTACTTCACCTCGTTGTGTTATACTTGATATTATATATATATGTATTATAATATTGGATAAAAGGCTACTTTGATGTGAACGCCGAACACGCGCTCGTTTGTTTATATTTTTATGGAGAAAAAAAAAATTCAGAAAAGTTAGAAAAATGACATTTTTCTAGCGTGCCGAACAGGGCCACTTGACTCTCCTGTTCGTTGGTTTAATGAATTATCTACCGGTACAGTACACATAACCCGACTTCCCTTCTACTTTTCATATAATGCCAAATCATACCGACGCCACACGCCGTCGACCGGCAACATAGAAAAAAAAAAGAATCAAAAAAAAAGAATATAAACAAGGTATAGTATAGACCGCTGAAAACGCCGTGTCATCCCTACATGAAAGTACCTCCGCGGCGAAAGGGGGAGAAGAAGAAAAAAAAAATACTGTACAGAAGGTATAATCATGAGGGAAGAAAAACAGGAGCTCTCACAAAGAGCTCTTGATTATACAAAAAAAAAAGCCTTTTAAAGAATTGTGTTCCGTTTAGCCCTAGAACTGCGTCTGAGGTTTGGTCCCCGAGTGTCGAGGCTCTCCTTCGGTTCCTTCTCAAGTGCCTTCACACGATCCAGAAAGTGATTCTTCTTCTTTGGAGAGACTATCTCCACAGAAAACTCGGCGCTCGGTGGCGGAGAGCATGACGGTTCCGGAGTATTCAACCGAACAGAGGGCAGCATACTCTCCCACCTGGACTTGTGGCTTCGCGATGGGGTAGATGGTACCGATGGGAGGTCGAATGCGGGTAAAAACAAAGGATCTGATACACATCCCTTTTCTATCCTAGAGCCTGAAGTAGTCGGTGGGCTTGGTTGGCAGCTGATTTTAGAATCCACGCCTAGAAAGCCCTTGGCTTCAGCCCCGCTAGCAGGAAAAGCTCTACCCCGAAAGGTCGAGATCGGGGCACACTCTTCAACTTTCATACTTCTAGTAGACAGCCCTGCGCTCCTAGTATATGGCCCCGTACGTGTAGTCTTTCTGGGGGGTGTGCCCGGAGTGATTCTGGTATTATCCACAGCCAGGACTTCAGCCTGGACTTTAATAGAATCTTGTACTTTGGTCTCCCTGATAGCCCGAGGCCGAGAACGCTTGGACCTATTTGTTGAGACGTTCCCTTTCTCCCCATCCTCGTTACTCCTTTCCGGTTTTTTCGGCCCAACAAAAACACATTTCAAGCCGAGCCTTCCAACAAGAGGATCTTGCGTAACACTCGTATCCCCCGTATTAGAGTGTGGTTCCTCCGCCCTTTTGGCGGGTGTGCCTTCAGCAACCCCCGCGTCCTTCGCCACCAGCCTTGCACCCGAACCTTTAGCTCTCGAGCCCTTGATGCCTTTCACAGTTGGTGATTTAGCCTTAGCAATGACAAAACCACCGGCCTCGGTATCCGTGGGGCCGACTTTGCTCTTTCTCATTGGTCCAGCAACCTTCAACCTCTTAGCTGGGCGTCCTCCACCTTCACTGTCCTTTGCCGCTCCGGAAACACTTGGACTGGCTGGTTTCGTAACATTGGCCTTGCCAGGCTTCTTGCAATCACTCTTCGAACTAGCCTTCTTCGTATCCCTAACCTTGGTCTTTTTGACAGGTGTTGGTCGATCCTTAATCTTCCCACCAATATGGCCCGCCTTCCTCTTCTTTTGTGCTTCTCCATTTGCCACTTTTTGTATGAGGGGATTTCGGACCCCGGTTCTCTTAGCTCTTGCTTTCGGTCGGGCAGCGAGGTTTTCCTTATCTTCCGGAGCATTCTTCACATGTACCAACTTCATCAGCTTGTCGACCTTCGTTTGCTTCATCCAGATTTCTGGATGGCTACCCTTCAGAAGTTTAACAAATCTATCGCAGTCCATCTCGACGTGAAAATCAATAACATCCTTCCATATGCTGAAAGACGCGGCAGTTTTGTTGACATAAATAACCTTGCCCTTACGGGCGTGCACAGCTTGTGCCATTTCCTTGACAATAGTCCTAAGCCCATGAACCTTGAGCGATGTTCCGAGAATAATCAAACAGTCTGGGTTGGAGCGAAGGTCGGCTGCTGCAAGTGTGCCAATCTTTTCAGCAAGAGGATGCTCTTCACCGTAAAGCACAATGTTCGGCTATGAGAGTTTAGCACCAGCGCCTATTCTAAACGATGGAGGAAACTTACCCTTAGGCTACCGATTCGAGTACCTCGCTTCCCACTCTGTCTTCGCGTTTTATCCATGCCAACACAATCCGGACAATCAGGAGCCTCCCCATCTCGTAAAGTCTCCACCTTGACCCTGTCGTACTTGCACAAAGCTTGACATTGCATACACCGAAGCAGGTTTAGGTCTCCATGAAGTTGAACAACTTGGCACCCCTTCTCCTCCTCTGTGTCTGGTATGTCGGGGTTTTCGGCACTAGGCCTCTTTCGCTTCCCCTTTCCCAGGGCCAAATTTGTTGTCATTCCTTCCCTTTCCTCCAGCCCATCGATATTCTGAGTATAGCACCTCAACAGGCGGCCATTTTCACACAAGGCCCGAATAAACTTGTGAGTAGGACTGGTCTCCTCAACCGCGAGTATGGAGTCTCTGAGTTGGGCAATAAAGGTATAGAAAACTTTAATCGAGGCAGGATTGCCGAACACCACAGAATCAAAAAGGTCCTTTCCCTTAACTACAATATCCGGGTAGCGAGATTTGACGAGATTGTATAGTCCCTCCTGGGATCGGAAATCCTAAAAGATGACCATCAGCAAAAATTAGTTATATCCGAACTACAGATGTATTTGGACGCGTGCGTTATCATACCGGGATTCCACAGTTTGTACTTATTCCAGCACCTGTAATCACGACTGCCCTCTTGGAGCGCGCAATACCATCTGCAATCTCCTGTATCAGACGCGAGTCCTCGGAGGTCACGGTGACGATTGTCATCGTCAGCCGCTAAAGTCTAGCGGACAAAAAAGAGGTGGTAGAAAAGAAAATAAATTTGTAATAATTAAAAAGTCTAAGTTTTCTCAGAAATCCAAGAACGTGGAGGAGATTGAAAGCACGGTGGAGTAGAAGAGATTTTTTAAGAATTGGTACTGAGAGGAGGAGGAAGTGGTGGTGGTGGTGGTGGTGTTCTGGTATGCAGTGGGGAGAGGAAAAGATGGAGATTGGATGTTTGATAAAGGAATGGGAGTCGGTTGTTACAGTAACGGCGGTGCGAGACGGGAAGAAGAGTGAAGCAGGCCATAGTCAATGGCACTCGATTGTAGTATAGTAAGGTCACAGCGGGCTCAATCCACTGCACCACACTCGTACCCAGGTTTCCTAATTTGGCTCATTTTGAGGCTGAAGGGAGTGGAGACGCGACGAAACCACTCAAACACGCCAAACCATTGGACTCAGCCACTGTTGCCTCCACGACACCATTGCCTAATCCAGCTTGCGGGGTTTCATTGTGGCTTGTGCACGGCTGCCATGGCAACCACCCAATCCACTAGGGGCAACTACTGTACTGGAGCAGAACACCAAAGAGTTTGTATGTACTCGTACTCGTGCCTCCGCGCCAAGAATTGGCACCTCTTTTGGAATAGTCTCCACTGGGCCATAGACAATACGAGTAGTCTTGAGGTTGCTCTTGTAGCGCGAGGGATTGCACTCTGCGGCTGCCGTGCCAGCAGCCACTCCCACCCATTATCTGGCACTGTATTTTGTGTCACCGGTAAGAGAGTCTTTGAAATGGCTCAAACGCTAAACTTTTTTATGGCTCCGAGGGGACTACAGTATTCTAAAAGAGGTGCCAACTCTTGGCTTGGAGGCACGAGTAACGGAGGACGGCCGGGCATTAAAAATCATGTATCATACGAGTACCGTACTTGCGCATTCCAAAAGTATCCGGATACCTTGGCGCAGTTTTGGTTGTTGTGAGAAACCTTAAACCAGTACCCTTTATCTGTTTGTATAAGGCACTTTAACCCCTATATCTCACCCAGAGGTTTGTTCTTTTAAACTATCTTTTAATTTCTAAACCTCCAGCCTATCCTCTATTCAAGTATACAGAGGAAACCACAGTGGAATTGTTTGGGAACCTTAGGAATTTTCAGTTGTGCAAGCCATTTTGTGAGAAACATCTGCTTAAAGAGTTTGTTTACCATATTTGTAGGTTGTGCCAAGACATCCGGATACTTTTGGAATGCTCAAGTACTCGTACTTGTACGAGGACACAGGGGCAGTGAAAGTAGGCGAAGTCTTGGCTGCCGAACAAGCAGACATTCTGTTGGCCACATTCGCCATACTTTCTCCTACCCCCTTCACACTTAGGTTCAACCTATGCTCAAATAATAGTTTTTATAGTATCTGAGCAGGATTTGTTATAATACATAAACTATGTGGCTTGACAGTTCTAAAATAACTCTGACGACAATCATTTTGCTTAGTAATACATGTTAATTGCTTCGAATTTAGGTTAAGTATATGTTACTTTCTGTTCTTGGGCAGGGCTAGCTTGCATCCCGGCAGTATTTACAGCTAATAACTTGACGCTCCATTTGGGTTTGACTACACCTAACTTTATACCCCTATAGCTCACCCTGGTATCAATATTTTTAAGAGAGCTCTCTATTGGTTGAATCTCCTGATTCTTCTCTATCAACCAATAGGGAGAAAAATAAAACTAAAGTTGTTTTTGTGGAGTCTTAGCAGCTGAAGTTGTGGACTTTTTCGGGACTAAAGCGCTCCGGTTAAAGGATCCCTCCACCATACGACCTGGTAACGTGGCAGTCTACCGCCCCAACCACCCCTCCCCACCCTCTGCTGCCTCCAACCATTCATCAACCCCTCCACCCTGCCCCAGATGGTCTAACCTCCTCCATCCCCCGCCGGTGCCCCAAAATATCCTCCCTCATCAAGTTCCCCTCATGAAATACACTCACACCCCGTTATCCCGGACGGCCAAAATCTAAAGAATCTGTCGGCACAATGGGTTATCTGGAACAAGCAGGTTAAGTTTTGCTGTGGAAAAATTTTGAATTCACAGCATTTCATACGGGGCAGTGAGGTATCCGTATTATGGAGATCCGGGACAGTGGGGTTTGAGTGTACCTGAACACAGGGATTAAAAATTTGTCTGGCAGATTGTCTGTACTGTACATGTCTGTGCCCGACTAAGCGCCCACACAAAATTCTGACGGTATCCGGCACGCATGTTCAGGTACCGGTACTTAATGAGGGGAAGGTGTAATTAGCCAAGATGGCAGCCGTTTACTAGAGCATCGTGGATGCACAAAAGAGTTGCTGCACCGGTATAACACAAGGTACAGCTCTTCCCTTCCATCTTTCCTTTCAGCAACGTGTTGCAGCAACCGCTAACTCTCTAGACCCATTCGCCCCTTATCCAGATACTATCGCAGGTGATACAGATGACCTATTAGCCCTTCTGCTGTTAACCCGCATTAATAGTCCTATTTGACGGCAAACGACCAATTTGCTCCTCTGTTACCACGCCAGTAGGATTCTGGTTTCTGCACGCATTGCTTAGGGTTCCCAGAGCCTAGGATCCAATCGTGAGATCGGCCGTAAGTGGCATGAGGACCAAAAAGATCAACAACGACTTGCACCTGTAGGAAACAACATTGGAGCTATTTACAATGGCGCTGTGACAACCAATGTCATGCGGAATACCGGTTCACAACAATCGTCTCGGGTAGGAAATACCGATAGTGATGTGAGTAGCCCTACTTACTACTCTTCATGGAAGCCTGGGTTGACCTGCGAAGGATGATGAAGGTGACGTCGAAGACGACGAAGAGGAAGAAGAATATGATGATGAAGCCTCTACATCTAGACTGCCCCATCAGGACTCCTTTCGGAATGCCCATGCTGAGATGGACCAAGCGAACAAATGCAAGCTTACTAGCGGTCGCTTTGTAGAAGATGTCATGTTTGTCGCGTTGAACAACGCGCCCAGCGCGGAATTTGTGCACCCTCTTGCCTAATTGCTCGTGCTAGATACATTGGATCCCCTGATGCAGAGCTGGCTCACCCCGGATGAATTGAAAGAGATAAACGCGAGCATGTTGCTCATGCCTGCCCCTGGCAAAATGCTACTGAACCCGTTAAACAGATTCTCGCATGTCACAACCACAAAGGAGCTCCGCGAGGTCCTGGGCATGTCAAGTGACTTGCCAGAGGGCACTCTCTACGATTACGAACCTCATTATAATTTAGAATAGGTCAATGTAGCCATTCACAGATTGTATGTGTTCCTGTCTTTTTTTTTTCGTACGAATATACTTTGTATATCTCTCGTCCCTTCGGGAAAAATATAACTGACCCCAATCCCATCCATCCCTAGTAGTCAATCTGTGCTCGATTCTGTCGACAAGCCACTTGCCGCACCGCACCTCGAGGACTGGCACAGCGACTATATCTGGTCCTCAATCCTTGATGACTGCTTCCTAAACCTCCCGGGCATGACCCTAGAGCGCAAGAAAGCCTCTTGTATCGCCACCTCTCTGCGCAAGAGTCACTATCTTGCTCAATGCTGTAACGTATCTACGAGCAACGCTTCAGACCGGCCATCATTGACTACACACCATATGCGCACTCGATTAACTCCGGTAATTCCAACATACAACTTCACGAAAAGCTATCCCTTGGGCAGGATAACAGTATCTGTACTTCGCTTTGTTCCCTATCAACCGGCCTCGGCCGGGTCAATTGAGTCTGCAAGAATAAGGATTGGAGTCTCTTATAGTACGTGAGGGTAGTGAGCCTGGAAGGGGTACCCTGTGCCGTCGCGATTTCTCTCGCCTTCCAGGAAAGAAATGCACAGATGTGTTTTGCATCGAATCGTTCTAAGGGCAGGCCCGGATCCTTACCTAGCAGATCCATATGAAATCTGGGATTTAGTCATTAGAAATCGAATATATTATAGCCTACCCACTTGCACAGCCTCTAGTGATAAGAACATGTGCTTTCACAAGAAGGATCCCCATTGGCCACTGCTAGGATTGTTGAATCTGAATTATTGGATTCAGAGACTCGGCTTTTGGTACTGAGTAGTTTTTTTCTTCAAACGACTACAATGCGATCTCTCCTAACTCGACGTTGTTGTTGATCTTATGCCATCGGAACCAGAATTCTGACCTGCTTGGAATTCTCATATTTGCTCTCTTGGTGGTATATGTTGTTTACGGGGGTGCCTGACTTGGTGAAAAATATTCTATAAATCATGTCGGCTTTGTTTGAGAAAGACTATCCTATGGACGGATGTAGACATGCAGATTCTGGACCTTCCGTTTACAGTAGGTTTATCCTGTGGTCGAGTGGCTTTTCCACAAAAAAAAAACAGTTGAGATTTCATGATTTTTATCAGGCGCAGTTACTGGGCCACACCCGGATTAGGAAGGTCCGGAATCTGCATGTCTCATCTGTCCATGGAGATACGGAAATATTGTACTGTACAGTACGTGTACTCAAGTACTCGTAGTACTACTACCGTAGTATAGCTCATAAGTTTGTATTTTATAGGCTGCTCACACAACACCCATGGCTAGTGTAAACTTAAACACTGTACGAGTACATCCGTAAGAGTTTTTATGTGTACTTAGCAAAAAGATATCTTATGTCCTCAAACTACCACTTTGAGGCACTTTAGAGCATCATCCTCATATCATAGGAGTGATATATAATGACCCTTCTGGGCACCCGAAGCTAGGAGAACCCCCCCCGGAACCCCCATTTCCAAGCTATCCTTCCGGTGACCTGCTATCGGTATAAGCTTTTCAATCCACCCTGTCGTGATACAGACCAAACGCATAATCATCCCCCCTTCAGACACCATCACTCGGAAATAAACCAAACCACTCCCAACATCCGCCAAGCCCCGGCAACTTTTTTTTCCAACCCCTCCCCGAAACGCCAAAACCCCCCCCAGGACACGCGGCCCGTCCTCCTCCCCCACCCCTGCGAGGTCGGATCTCGACTCGCGAGCGGTTGCTAAGGGGAGAATGAAACCTCCTGCTCTAGGGGAGTAAAGTGCTAGTACTACTGGCAGTTTGTGCCGTTCGCTGGTTCATCGCCATCCTGCCGCCACGCCCCGCCGCTGCGAGTAGCGGTAAGAGATGTCCACGGGTATGTGACATTTATAGGTGGGTGCGCGGCGTTTGGGGGAGTGGGGGTGGCCTTGTCTACGGTATACTACCGTACGATGGAGAGTCGACCGGGTTCACCTCTGCTAATTATTCGTATGATGTTCGTCTCACGTCTCACGTTTGCCTGGATACCGGTATGTGGATAGGGTTGTGCAGATGGTACCGTGGTTGGGAGCTGTTTAGGTGCTATCGTATGGTATACCTGATGGGTGCAGTATCATACGATACTCCAGTTCAAGCACCATGATTGTGTTGCTCTGCATTGCAGTCTAGCCGGCGGCAAGACGGTGGTGCGGGGAATCTAGGAAAGATGTCTGTACGAGTAGAGTCTTCACTGGGGGCATGGCGGAACTGGGCGGGTGACGAACAGGGGATCAAATATGATACTGCTATCATAACTTTTCCCAACCCTAACCCTGACCGGTCCACTTTTGCCCACGAAGTACCCATGTTTGCCATCCGCCCAGTTTCGCCATGCCCCCCCGGTGGAGACTGTAAATTTACCGGTATTGGGTTGCACTCCGTCTTCCCCGCCTCCGAGTACGGTAGGTACGAGTGCATTGCTAGTAGATCTTACGGTTTGGCTTTCGTGGGATGTTCCTGGCGATTTGATCTAGTAATAATCTAAGTTACCGCAAAGATAAAGCTTTTCCCCTTCTTCCGTATTATTACGTACTGTACGAGTGCAGCACGGTTCGGGTACAGGTACCGGTACCTTCCGGAATTAGTCTCGTCACGATCGACAGTTGAGCGGGCGGCAGTTCATTTCCGCAGCCTCTAGTACCGGCACCTTCCTTACGTACATGTACTCGAGTACCCGAGTACTTCTTAAGGGCTAGCTTGCCGTATGTGCGCTACAAGTACAAGTACGAGCACAATCACCCAAGATCCAGGGCAAGCTCCGTTCCCCCTATTTTCCTCCTAAGTGCAAATTGCACTTTTTTCAACACCATACAACTATCTCCAAACTTCGTGTAACGTGACCTGTCAAGTTCCACGAGGACCATATACCCACACCAATCCCACTACGCCATGGCTTCGCATAGTGAGGAGATGGATACCGAGTTCCTCCCTGAGACACCCACACCAGCTGTGAAGGGGGGGTCAGACACTGGCTTCATACAGGTGCAAAAGATGGCATCGGCCCTTCTGGCTGAGCACGGACCTGGACAGCATACCCCGATCGTGGACCTGGTCGACAACCTTGAGGTTTCGGACCTGGGAAATGAAGACATGACTATGATGGCGATGATCTCGGCCCTGGCTACTCAGGTGAAGAAGCTGACTGTGACGGTTCAAAACCTGGCATGCACAGTCCAAGATCAACAGGCGGAGAAAAGTGGGCCCGTGCCTCAAAGGCCCGCCCAGAAAACGACAAACACCGGGGATAAGACGTATGCCAAGGCGGCGGCGACGGCACAGACCCCCGAGAAAGGCAGGAAGAGGAAGGCAAGCGAGGGTCCGACCCCTCCCAAGCCGCCACAGCCCAAGAACCCGAAAGGGGAAGAGGAAGACGGCAAGACGGACTCAGATGGGTGGAAGGTGCAGGAGTCCAAGAAAGCTAGGAAGAAGACGGCGGCGGCAAGGAAACTGTTTGCAACAAGGGTGTTGTAACCGGAACTGGTGTTCAGTCCATTCGGTTCCAGGATTTGTTTTAAGTTTTGTTTTATTTGTGGTTTCGAGTATCCTTTGATACTCAGTTTGTTTTACTTGTGGTTTCGAGTATCCTTTAATACTCAGTTTGTTTTACTTGTGGTTTCGAGTATCCTTTGATACTCAGTTTGTTTTACTTGTGGTTTCGAGTATCCTTTGATACTCAGTTTGTTTTACTTGTGGTTTCAAGTATCCTTTGATACTCAGTTTGTTTTACTTGTGGTTTCGAGTATCCGTTGATACTCAGTTTGTGTTATGGGTTGTTCACAGAGGATTTGAAAATCCGTCCATGCAGGACATGGACGAAGTTGTATTTAAAGACCGCTGAGTCCCTTAGAGGAACAGCAGACTTCGACGGACAGAGTATTTCTAATATACTTGGTTGAA